TAGTAAGAACTTGGATTGTAACTTGACTTTTATTCTTTTTCAAGAATGCCTCCCTTTTCAGGGTCAGTCGCCGGTTTTCCGGTGGCTTCCCCGACGGGGAATGTAGGACTTTGAATGGGGAATGACGTTTCCCACAGACGGCGCCAAACTGTTGACCTCTAAAAATGGCTCTTCCACGTGGCCAACTTGTAGCTACTCCACGTATTTCTCCCTACGAAATGAACAAACTGTCAGGCGCACACGGCCGGAACCAACGGTGGTGGCGGCCGTATACACTCCGACGGTCAAGTCAGGTTTGGGTGGTCGGAACAGTGTCCGGGGACTACACAAATCAATCAGTCAATAAAGGGGGAGGAGAATATATAAACTTGTTATGGAGTGCTATCTATTGAGAGTTTCATTACCTTTGCCTCTGGCCAATCTTTGGGTATTTATAGGTGGTATGAACCGTGGGATGTGGAACACGTGTATACATCTGACGGTATGAAGCGTCTGCTCATAGGCGTCAATCAGCCGCGCTTGTAGAGTGGGCGGACAGTTTGTTTCCCCCGAGTTGAATTGACATAAAGTTGATAAGTCACATCAAATAGCTTTATGGGGGACGTCACATCAATTTAAACCTTATATGCAGAGCAAATCTTAAATTGGCAGCGAATCTTCTAACGGGGGTTCAAGCCACTTGAACCCGACCTCGGAGACGGGACACTTCGGCAGATCAGTGGCAGGAATCGGTGTATCACTTCGGAGAGGCTTCGGGGGGTCGGAGTGGTTCCAAGGCTCATAAAATGAGGCGTAACAATCTTGATGTTTCTTCAATTCACGTGCTTATGTGATATCTGAATCCTTGCTGATTATTCAACGTTATGGGTTTTGAATTAAACTGGTCATTTCTGGGCGGTAGAGAACAAAATGCACGTTTTTTTTTAAAGTTTGGAATGCCCAGTTCCTAGGTGGTCAGACTGCTGGTCTTATAACTCTTTCAGTACATTGATACAGTAACTATATTGTAGTAGATTCAAGTAATTGAAGAAAAGTTAGTTTTCCTCTTTCAATAGTATTGGACAACTAGTCAAAATGTCATTAATCTATGGAACCATGTATTTGCTCTTTCTCTTCAATTACGCTGTCTTGGCATTAGGCTAATAGTGGGATTTTGCTTTGAACTTTATAATGGAAAACTCTCTACTAAAAAAATCAAGGGTTAATATTTATTCTTTCAACTCTTCCTATCCATAGTTCCATGCGTGTATGTGTATGTGCGATGAAGTACTTACTGCTCACAAGGGGCACATTGGACTGATTCTATGCTTTTTGGTTGAATCTGAAGTTGATGCTATGTTGCAATGCCAAAGGCAACAGTGGCCTTCAAGAGGTCTTGGCCTTAGGTAGGATGGCTTAGTGACGAAGAAAAGTTAGAATTAATAAGATTGAGCTCATGTAGGTTGTTGGTGGCATTTTCTGACTAAGCCGTCAAACTCTCTTCCTTTTCCCCTTTCCTCTTTCTAGGAAAAGCAAGGAAAATCAAGTTCAACTTGGTTTTCCCTCTTCTTGACTAGGTCTGTCCACTCATGATTTTACAAGATTGACTGAATTGATGACCTTTCGGTTCTCAATCAAGCTGGCCAAATCCCAACAATGCATTTGTATATAAAAATGACTCAATGATGTTATATCTTCCTTGACCTTAATATAGTCCTTAGTATTACTAATCATGCAAGTGCAACTTTAAGCCTCCCAAGTCATGTTGCTAATTTTTTTATCTTTATATTTTCACCCAAGTTTCCCAAATGATTAAGATCTTTTAACCTGCTATTTTCTCATATCCTCTCGATAGAGAACTTCACATCAGGTCTCCATCACTTTGAGATCTATCAATGGTTTTTATGTTTGATGTTACATTTATATTTTTCAGGTTCTCTTACTTGTACCATATCGATTTCTGTTGCATGAAGCAATTAAAGTGCATATGCAGCTTCAACTTTGATAATATTGTTTCCTTTGGAAATTTAGTCAAGAAATAATGTATATGTCCATTAACGTGGTGAGAATTGAACTTTATTGTTAGCATTCCTTCACACTTCACTGTATTTCATTATGTTCTTAAATCTCACCATTTGCTAATATATAAGGAACTATATCTTAAATGGATGTGTATGCACCTGAAAAATGATATGACCTGATTTAGATTTATTGATCCTGTGTTTCTGGATTCCAGATAATTCCCATTTCTGAATTGTTAATTTGCTGCACATGATTGACATGCAAGAATGTGAAGGATATTAAAACAAGCTTTTTATGTGTGATTGAGCTTTAAAAGATAAGTTCAGGGAGTAGAACTTGGAACCTTTTAATGATATACGATAATTATGGTAGCTGGACGTGGGTACAACTTCTTCGTCTACTATTTCCTCTTTCTCTAGTGTTGTGATGTTGAGATTCTTCTGTTGTTAACGTATTTTTCAATTTAAGATGGACAGTTCTTTTCCGTTATGCATACATTGCTAACTACGAGTTTTTGACTTTTGCATGCAATGAAGTTTGACATGATATTCATTTGTGCTTACAATAAGGCTTGAACTAGTGCAGTCTGCCTGTTGTTCTAACTTATGAATGCTTTACTACACATCATTTATTAGACTTGCACGGTCACCTTCTCCATGGGAAGAGAAATCCAGGTCAAGATCCAGATCTAGGTCTAGATCATGGTCAAGACAAAGGACCAGGTCAAGATCAAGAAGTTGTGGAAGGTTAGTGGTAATACAGGGTCCAGTTTTCATTGCATTGAACCTTAACTTGATATGACTGGTGTATACATTTTGCTAGTCATTTCATTGATCTATCACACAGGGATGAAGACGTTAATCCTGGTCATACACTTTATGTGACTGGCCTATCTACGAGGGTAACTGAAAGAGATCTTGAAGATCATTTCTCCAAGGAGGGAGAGGTAGGTTTTTCTATTTAATCGTTAAGTGAGGTCGTTTTTCCTTTTTTCTTGTATGAGCTGGTTTTGTTATTGGATAAATGAAGCCTTGTATTATATAACAAAAAATTAAAAATCATATCCATTATCGATAACGTGTTGAGCAAGATATTTGTTTTCGGTGGTATATCAAGCAGTTGAATAATATCTTGAAGGGTTTGGAATTCTTAGATTATGTTAATGTCCTTTTTGTTTCCTTCAATTTTCTAGGTGAAATCAGTATTCTTGATTGTGGAACCACGATCTCGCATCTCTCGTGGTTTTGCTTTTATAACTATGGATTCTGTTGAGGATGCCAATCGCTGTATCAAACACCTTAATCAATCAGTTCTTGAAGGCAGATACATTACAGTGGAGAAGGTAAACTGCCTATCTGATAGGACTTGACGTGTTACCTATTTGTTTGCATATTCATTCTTCTTGACTTGGAGGTTTTCTGGTTATATTCAGAAGACGTTGTGTCAGCTATGTTGGGAGCAATCAAAGATGATGAATCAATCCATTGCAACAATTAAATCAAAAGCTTGATCAATGGCCAGCTAAATCATCTTTTCACTTGCATCTGATGAACAAAATAGCAACTATATTGCCCAACAACCATACAATCTCGGCAAATTCTTTCAACTCTCTACTAATCGAGGGTCATTGTCAGCATTCTAATCATGCTCTATGGTATCTCAACTGGGCAATGGTTTTTATTTTTGCACCCATTTTATTTGCTGGATTAACCACCAAAATAGCAAAAAATGCTACTATTTCTGTTAACTGGTCTGGTATATGTGCTTCCTGAACTTGCGAATCCATATGAGAGATGGAGGCTTTTTTTTTTCTCTTTTGCTTTCTGTTGTGGCCACGTTTTCTGGTAATAAGATTCTCTCGTGTGCAATATTTTACATGAACGCGTGTATTTTGGCTATGTTACATGTACATTGTTTGTTATGTAAGCCATATGTTGTGCTCTTATTAGATGTGAGACTTTGTATTTGTATTTTTTCAGTCCCGGAGGAAACATGCAAGGACTTTGGCTCCTGGTCACTATCTTGGGCTCAAAAGCACCCGAGGTAATGGTGTGTTCATGTTATAGTTGTTCCTCAAGTTTATGTTTTGAAATGTAAATCTAATTATTAGCCTGGTTTGAAGGTTCTCGTGGTAACCGGTATCTTGGAGGCTCTGGGCGTGATGATTATGGTTATCGGAGGTCTCCTAGGTCGTCGCCCTATAGAGGTGGACGTGATTACTCTCCTAGGCCTTCATCCTACTATGGAGGTGGATGTGATTACTCTCCTAGGCCTTCATCCTATAGAGGCGGACGTGATTACTCTTTTAAACGTTCACCTCATGGTGGGAGATCAAGAAGGGATAGGTCCAGATCATATTCTCCTCGATGCAGTCCTGAAAGGAACTATGCACGTGGTTCTAGGTGAAAATATGCTTCAAACTTTTCATTTTGAAAATGAACGTTTATTTATGATTTTCTACAGTGATTTTTTTGGATTATGTTTGAAGAGGCTTCTCCAGTTATGGTTTGATGCATGTTGTTTGTCATGTTCTCTAACAAACTCCTAGAGTTTGTGCGCAACTCTCAAAAACACTCTTAAAAGAGTGTAACATTAGTTTGTGATGTAATTGGAATACTGGTTTGTGTAGTTGCTTGTCATGTTATTTTGCAATCTTATAGCTGTTTGGGTGAACCCATTGGAATTTTGTTAGGTGATTGTTTTAGTCACAGGGTTTGGGCCATTTTATGTATTGTCCCTTTCTCCTTGATGGCTGGTTTTGTGTGCGCACTATTTTGTTTGGCTCATGGCAATAATATTCGGAATGTGATAGGATGTGGCCAAATATTGGTGTGCGGTAAACCGCATTCTTCGTTTTCTTGCATTTTATTTGCTATAAATTGTGGTAAGCTGTTATACTTTCATATTTGAAATGATAAATGAATTCTAGAAAAAAAAATTAAAAAAATACATGGTCTAAGGTCCAAGATGTGGCGATTTCACATAGTTAAACCTGTTGTACAGAAGCCTTTGCTTCAGCCTAGGAAGTTGTAGTAGACTTTGGAATGCCCTTCCAGGGTTATCGACCTGAAAATAGAGTTGAGAAGTGCCTTGGCTCTTGAAACGTTAAGCATTTACAAAATACTATTAATAAAAAGTTATTTGACTTTACTTCCGTGCTGAAAGAATGAATTGTAGCTTGCTCCAAAAGCTCCCTTCCAACATGGCTAGGGATTTACGATTGCATCCAGCGGGAAAATTCAAGTCGAATAAAAATTGACAAAGAGAGTAAGACGTAGCTTCAGGTTCAAGGTTAGGACTCGAAACTCAAAATTTTCGTCGTTGGTGGCTTTCATTTTCACTCAATTCGTGATTAGAGGCTTTTTGACGTGATAGAAATATATATAAGCCAATACTGCTGTTAGTGCAAGCCTTGGCGTGAAAACAGAGTATTCTAAGACAAATGTCGTAAAATCACAATTTATGAAGAGAGAATATAACCAATATTTTCAATAAAATAATGAACAATGTCAAATCAAAATGAGTAAAATAACCTTATCAATCTTTTTATGAATCAAATGAAGTTATATGTACATTGTCCTTGATGATGTAGTTGAAAATATGTTCAATGATGTGATAAATGCCTATAAAATCAAGAGTATGGGGGATGTTTGGGAGTGAGTTTTCCTGTAAAAAAATTAATTTTTTGATCATTATTTTATTATTTTAGTCATAAAGTTTGACTTTTTCTCTCACAGATGGTCCTCATTTTTCTCCTATCGGTCACAAAATTAATCTTCAAAATTACTCTCAAACAGGACTTAGAATTTGTCAGCATGATTGTTTATAAATAGACAATTGTATAACACAAAAAGCGATATTTCTCTAGATACCCAAAAAAACATTTTGAAAAAAAAAGGATTTGAGATGCTAAAAATTCAAATTGAGAGAAAAAAAAGTAATACACTATTTAGCCTTGTTTGAGCTATACTATTTTCATAAGAAAGCATTTTTGAATAGTGTATTAATGAAAAGTATGTGGTTAAAAAATAATTAAAAAATTAAATTTACGTGTAATATTATTTTATTGAAAAATGTATGATTGCAATGATGTCAAATCATTATTTGTGAAAATATTTTTTTGAGAGAATGTGGTTCAAACAGAGTCTTACTCTAAGAAATACAATAATTTTTTTTTAAGGTCAACATTGTATTCTAGTTATACTTGGAACAATAATTGATGAGACACAAAGGAGTGAACTAATGAAAGTAAGTCAACACCATAATTGTTGATAGGTTCAGTCGTACGATTTTGCTATAGTGATAAACTAAATGACAAGTTAAAAAATCGGAGATACATGTCGACACACGATTGGATAATTTGAAAAAAAAAAAAAAAAAAAAAAAAAAAAAAGAAAAAACAGCTGCAAAAAAAAAGAAGAAGAAGAAAAGGACTAAACAGCTGCACCTATCATCCAACGCTGTCAATAGCCCTGTTCAATGAACATTATTCTCTGTTGTAAATGACCTGATCGATCCCCTAATTACTGAAAGGGGACATACCAAGTTTTCAGAAATTTTGCCACTGTAGGCTTACAAAACACCAAGTCCAGAAAATATAACCATCAAGCTACTTATCTTCCTATTTGAAAATCCCAAAAAAATAGCTTCAATTTGGCGATCAATGGACATAAGAAAACCACTGCCTTTTGAATAATAATGCTATTTGCAATTACTTATTATCGCAGTCATCCTACGTTGTATACATATGACAGTTAATGATTTGATATATGATGCAATGAAAAATTACCATATTAGTACATCAAATCACTAACCATCATATACTATGTAGGATGATTATGATAATAAGTAACTGCAAATAACATTATTCCTATTTTTCTATCAAAATGCAAGATAGTTTCCTAAAGATAGAGACAAGGTAACATGTTTGCTAATTAAATTGAAGACTTTGTTATAAGAATATGATAAAAAGTCAAGGATATGAGTGCAACAATAAGCAAAAATTAAGAATCCTTAGTGAAAAGTATTGCAATTAAAAAAGAAAAGAAAAAGTGTGGCGTCTAAATATAGACATTCTTAAATAAACTTATAGCATAATTGCAATATTTCGATCTGATTGTAAATTGTGAATCTTATGAAATGTGACAATGATAAATAAATAATAATTGTCAATCCTACTAAATACAGGTATGAAAAATAAGTTTCACCATTAAACTTTGTCACACACAAT